ATTCAAGGGAACTGATCAAGGGTTTTGGCAGAAATACAAAAAAATAAAAAGTTGTGCTTTTTCATATTTTTCCTCCGCCTATAACTTCTTCCAACTGCTGACCTCCCGAGCTGTGTGAACCATATTTCTAAATTTCTTTAATTTAATTTTTCCTGACATTAGAGTGGAGGCTTGGAGAAATAGCAAAAAAATAAATAGATAAATACTACTGACCATTTTTAAATGGTATTTTCCATTCTAAATGTAGTAACAGCCACAAATATGACCTGCGATCGAACCGTTGACTTTCAGCAACAGAAAACAGCTTTTGGAACTTCATTTTGGTCCTTTTTACTCCCCTTTCTTGCTCGGTGACCAAAGGACACTTTTTTTTTACATTTTTCCACTACCTTTGAAGCGGGAGAGGGAAAAGGAGTAATGAGATACCTGGATCAATCCTCCAGTCCACTATCACCACGACAACCACTACCAACTACGCGGCAAAATCCCCTCGAGGAAAAGCTGCCATCTCTAACTTTCCCTACTCATAAGTCAAAATAAACCACATGCAGTAAATTCGGTCAGCCTGAGCAGAAGGACAAACATGATAAAGGGCAGACTTACAGTTTTCTAGCAAAGTAAGTGAAAAAGTTTCACTGAGGTCAGTCAGTAAGGCATATATCTCATATTGTTACACTTTTAAAAGACCATTAAATAAGATTTGTGAAACTCTACATCTGAAAATGACTGTAATATATCTCTTTAGGGATTAGGATCAATATTGAGGCGATCCCCTTGTTTGTTGGGTGTAAGGTTTCCAAACATGATATTTAGACTTTTACTGAATTCCACTGAGACATGCTGAGGTGCCCCAAGACAGCTTTGCTGAGAGGAGCAAAAACAAAAGTACAACTTAACAGCTTTTAACCTTTCTATTTGAAAATGATTAGATGAAATACAAAGGTGAAGAAAATAATTAAAAGTGGCAAATTTGTTCCAACACATTGATTCCCATACCTTTTCACCCACGACTTAGAATCACACAGAGAAAAAGTTTTTTTTTTCTGATGTAAAGCTACTAACACAGATTTTTTTAAACTATTCTAGGTAAATCAAATCATGTTTAACAGTTTCAGGTTCACTTGTTCTGAGTCAATCTGACGATTTGGCACTCTTGTCTGTTAACTTCTGTTCACTCTTTCTGGCTTTAACCTAAACTAACAATTGCAACTTTCCTTTCTTTGCTTCTTTTTCTCTATTTCTTTTCTGGAAAATAAAAAATGAGCAATAAAAAAGAACACCTCGGAAGAACTAATGCAACATCCTGCAAAATAATTTTAAATGTCCCACTTGTGTGTCTTGTTGCTGTCGTCCATTTGATTGATACTTCCCCTTTTTTTGTTGTTTTTCATATAAGGTTTCATGCGAGATGGTGTAAAAGAGTCACCACTTCGGATCATTAATAAACAAATGTCCCAGTAATTTTCTTGCTGTTCAATAAAATCTAATTTTTGCTTTGTGTTTCACGCTTTACACGTGTGT